ACGCATCTGCGCCAGCGGACTGTTACATCGAAAGACAACACGATATGATCCCTCTTGCCCAAAGGGTAATGCTGTTGAATTGTGTCTGTGAGGTGACTATCACCTGTTATGACAAGGTATAGCAATGAATGGGCTTGCCTGTTTCTGAATTTCGTCGGGCTTTTGACGTGCTGAGACCATGACAGCTTTGTGACCAGGTTTACTAGCAGCCTTCCAAATATATTATCCTGGGAGTGGAGTCTGCGCCAATCTATTGCCGGAGCTTTGAATTCTCCAGTTATCAGAAAATGCGCATTGGGCCCATATATCTTAAGCTTTTTAGTTGATCTATCAGGAGTTGTGATTCCAGCTCCCCACAGGAGGGTTAGCGGTAGAGCGGTAAACTACTCCTAGCACCAATGTATCAGAGCGGGACAGGGGAATCCCGACCCAAAGGCAGTCTACGAAGGGGATGGGACGGAGTGATAGAGCGATCGCTTGGGGGAGGCGGTCACTCGTGTAGAGGATCACACTACCTGCTTGACCTTTCATTGAGTCTCTTCAGATCAATGAGTAACCTGCAAGGGATATTTCGCCATCGCTGTTTTCCGGGGTGAACCGTGTTTCTGTGAAGGCTAGAAGATGGGGTTTCTTATCGTTCACTAACTGTCTGACTTCCAGTATCTTGTTCGAGATGCTGAAACAGTTAGTGGAAATGCAGTTCAGGGCCCACTCACTAGAGATTTCAGTAGTAGCAGGGTTAGAGGAAAGATCTTTGGGGGGGCTCTATTTTGGGCATCTGGTTTGTAACAGGTGGACTTTGGACAGGGTTTTGATTGTGGACCATTCTGCGGCGTGATTGCCTCGACCTGTCGAAGAGATCCGGAGGACTAGTAGGATGGGATGCGGGGAGAAAGAGGACGGTTTGCGATCCCCTACTGGAGTGTGCGAGTTATCCTTGTTGCCCACTGGTATCCGCGTCACAGAAAAGGGGGATGGTGGGGCTAATGACCCGGTTGGGAAGAAAGGTACGGGGGATTTGCCAAGTAAACCGTTGCTTTGTGACTTGGAATTAGCGGGTATCTTGGGGTTAGTCTTAATTGTAGCGGGAATGTTGGGCCTTGGTGTCGAAGCTGTAGGTGGCTGTTTATGTCGCGCTTCAGGAAGTGTGACTAGAGCCCTGGTGGATTGTCGTGCCTTGAGAGGTGAAGAGGTAGTCGTCGCTTGGTGATCTACGCGCGAGAGAAGGATTACTGGCAGACAGCGGAGTTTGAGATCGCTGGGACCATTGATACTTTTGACGGCTTTCTTCCGCTGAGTTTGGGTGTGCAGTGGCTTGTTTGGGGGATCTCCACGGAAAAGGTTGCATGCTCTTTCTAGGTCCTCTTTGGTGGCTTTGGTCTTCTTAGATTTGGACATCAGCCACGACGCTCCGATTGGTTTGGGCAGGGATGGAGATGTAAGGCTTCTCAAGGCGGTTTCGGTTGCCTGAACCGGAGAATCGAACTTGGGGAAACTACCCCCAATTATAATCCGTTTTGCGCTGATGGCCGCTGATTCTAGTTTGACTGCAGTGCCAAATATCTGTTGTTTCGATAGTGTGATAGTGTGTGGCAGCACATGCTGAGAAGTTATCCCTAAATAACGCTGTCAGGTGACATAAATCGTTATCTAGTGCCGCGAATTTCCCACGCAGATAGTGTATTATCGATCCTTGCAGGTCGGGGACGATTAAAGCCGCTTTTAGCGTTATTTGAGTGCTATCCCAGTCGCTGGTTTCAGACACACCATGTGACATGGGGGTTTCCCGCATGGGTAAAGTGTCCAAGTAGGAGGACTCAGGGAGCTCAGAATACATGGTCAAATGGTAGTGGTATTAGTAAAATTTAACCCGAATGAGAAAAGATGGAATAGTGTTACTTTAAGATAGTCTTAATTAAGGGTATATCCAATGATGTACGGATAAATACTAATAACAACGAGAAAAAGTAAACCTATCGAGCCACGACAAATCATCGACCGCGAGCGGTGAAGGCCAGTCAGTCATTAAAAAACGTGAATGGCATTTTGGATATTTGGCACGCCCACACTCAACTACACTGCCAGAGT